CCAGTTAAAGCTTACCCTCATATTGTATATAAAATATTTCGCGTTTCTTGTTATAGCGATTGGAGAAGAGGCTGCTAAACATTTTACAAACACCTACTTCGATACGAAGATGAGTTGAGTCGTCGACTTTAGTTCTACTTAAAAGAAAACGACTGGAACCGGCCACAGCAATATCGATAAGAAAATAAGCAGATGTTTAAGTTTAGTCGCAATTGTGTTTCTGGAACAGAAAAAAGTGATGGAAGTTTATTAATATGTAATTCAATAATTGGCATCACCGCCAAAGGCGTACACAGCTCTCTTCAAGAGGTGAAGGTGTTTTAAATATTTTATTTAGCTATCATAGCAAACATCTATTGAAAGATTAGTTCCTATAGAGTAGGTGTGGGTTCAGACTTTTCACTGACAACATTTTGTTATATTTTCTGCATTTTTAAAGCTAAACCGATTTTGAAAAGAAATTAATTTTTTGCCATGGTTTGACATCTACAAAAATACTAAAATTTAATTGGGAAACACGATATTTTTTATTTCTAAAAATCTGTTTTATTATTATTTAGCAGCTTAAGTTCACACTGCTATAAGGTCATACAAAAACGAACCAGTTGATACAATTAAAATTATAAACTAATGTTCTGAAGTGGCGAGTGACCGCAGCAGTTGAACCCGAAAATAGACAACAAAACTTAGACCAGTAAACGTATGTGTGTGTGTGAGTGTATGTGTGTGTGTGTGTGTGTGAGTATGCGTGTGTAGCTGAAAATCAGACACATAATTGGCTATTAGCGCTGGACGCTGCACAAAGGCGGATGGCTAATTGCAATTGTCGCTGTAATTTTTGTTAAAATTGCGAGCGTTGATTACATTAAAAGTGCGAAAATTGTCACCAAAGCCGCGGAAATCATATTAAAAAATTGTTTAAAATAATATGAAAAATTTGTAAAAAGTATCTTTCGCATGTCTAGCTAAACAAACATAAATGAAAATTAAATTTAATTGTCATATTAGCATACGTTTTCCACGAGCCACAGAGAATTTAAATAGGCGACACGAGGCAAAGCTGATTTATTTTTAGCAAAGGCGTTGACGGTCCGTACCAGGTATAAAAATATAAAAATAATTCCAATAAAATGCATTTTTCATGTCAAACACCTGAGCTGCTGGAATAACCTGAATGCACGCACAGGATTTTGCGGAATTGCACGCAAACAAAGTGCGGCACAAACAAGGCACATGAAAAACAAGTGAAAAGTGGAATGAGATATTTGTTAGCCCCCAATTTTTAAGTCCTCTATGTGCAGCGCTGCAACTCATTGTTTTTTTTTTCTTTGTAGTAATAAGAAAAGGAAAATAATAATAAAATTTGTACTGGTGGCGAAGAAAGCTAAGCTAATAGCCAAGTCAACAACACAAAAGAGCGAAGTAGCCATTCAAGATAAAGAAAGTCAAGAGTCAACATTGAAAAGGGAAAAAAGTGCATCAAATGCAATTGGCGCAAATCAGCTTATGTTTATGCATTTGACTAAACAACTGGACTTACAGCTCGCAACAGCTGGACTCTCTGAGGCTATTTGGCTTGTCGCCAAACTTAATTTATTGTCTTAAGCCACAAAACGAAAGGATAACGCATTAAAGCAACAAAGGATTATCTCTGGTCCGTGCCGCTGGTCCAACAACAGCCCACACTCCATCCGTCTTTCGTCGCCGACTTGCAAAAGTTACTTTAGCCCAAGTTAAAGGGGGTTCGGTTTTAAAGTTAAAGTCTGCTAAACTTTTACACTACACGCTGATAGCACCCGGCCAAAAACTTTTTAACAGTAGCATACATACAAAAAAAAAAAAAAAGACAAGGCGAAAAAACGAAGGCAAAGTTTTTCATTCGGAAGCTGGCATACAAATTCGGAGCGCCCGCCAAGTAGTTCAATTAATTAAAAGCCAGGAAATACGAATAATGAGCAGAAAGAGTCGAACCTGTCACCGCCCCAATGATGTATGTTAAGTTACCGGTTAGGTCCTCTCCCTCTTAAGCATCAATTAGCCTTGCAAATCTATGATGATTCTGGGCGCCATTTATGCTCCTTGCATGTATCTGTGCACTCCAAGCCACAGTCAGTTGGAGGATGCTATAGACTTGTATGAAGTTAAAGCAGCTCGAGTGCGGAGTGTTTAACTGGTGTATAAGAACGTTAATGGAAGTATTAGATTTGAGTTAAAGAAAAATAATATTATAAAGAAAATAAGGAGAGCAAATAAATTGCCATTTTGCATATTTTTTATTACAGAACATGGAAACAGTTATATTTCACATTTTTATTTTATTATAACAACAACAAAAAATCTTAAATAAATTTGAATATGTCAAAGTAAATATTTATATGCATATTCAATTTAAATTTAATTATCAGACAAATATTTAATGTTTAAAAAAATTATAAATATATTTTATAGGCGGAAATTAAGTTAAACATATATACCACAATATTGTCTATTTAGTGATGCTAGTTAGTTCTATAAACACCCTTTTCTAGGATGCAGCACTTGAGCAATACAATAACAGGAAACCGTTGCTATTGTTGTCTTCCGCTTCGTTTCAGGGTGACGACAACCCACTTTAACTCTCCCACCCAGACCCACACACACACAGACACTCACACGCATACACGCACGCACACATACACATGAAGACGCCCACGCATACACAGGTGGAGCCATAGCCACGCAGACAGACACCCCGTCTTGACTCATTAACAGCCCGCACGTCAGCAAAGGAATTGCCAGTGTTGTAAATGTTCCGCAACACAGATTACTTTGCCTGATTCTGGGCGCCCAGTTCCGTGTTCAGTTCAGTAGGTGACACCATTGCGCGCATAAGTGCCGACGTTCACATCGCTGCTCTATTTGCTGTGCGGAGTGTGGAGTGCCGCAAACTGCGTGCACCTGACACATTTGCTCCAGATTTGGTGTGCGGGTATGCGTTGAATGTTTTCAAGTGTAGATGTGCACACAAGTTAAAGTCAACGATACTCTGGGGCATGCGCGTGTCATTAGCGCCTCAGCGGGATGAAAGTCACATTTCATGCAAATACACACAGAAAAAGTTAAACCATACAAGTTTAAATGCTCCGCTCGCAGGCTATCAGTCTATAGTGTCTACACTTCTTACATGGCTTACAGCGCTCCACAAACTGAGCTAAAACCAATTGCCAAGTTGACAACTTTTTCCTTCAAGTAATTATACCAAATTTAAAGGCAGCCAACGTCACCTGTCAGCGTCATAGTCATTGCCATCGGAGAAGTCTAGCCGACTAGCCGGCTCGAAAGTGAGCCAGCACTTGAGTTATTTCGTGCGCAAATTAAAGGTTCATTAAAAGGTTTACAGCCAACAAAATCAGGCCAACAGTGAACTAAATATGTTAACAGTATTATTATTTATTATTATTTTTTTCTTTTTTGTTATGTATTAAAGATTTGCAACGTAAAAACTTTTTGCTGAAATTTCAACTTTATGTTGAGACAACTAACAAATAAATGTTATGTAAATATTTAATTATTTTTACATTTTTTGTGCAACATAAAAACTTGTAGCTATCATTGCAACTTGTTGTTGGTATAAGTAATTAATACTTTTAGTTTCAGAGCGTTTTAAGTACTACTTAATAATAGTGTCGTTTATTCTGAACTATAAATAACAAAAGCGAAAGGTTCACATTTGCTTATTCGACTTGGAAATACTTTTATTCCATAAGTAATATTAGCTGAGTTTGCCTTTAAAATTTCGGTAGATAAAGGCTTTTCACGTTTTTGGTGCCGGGAGTGGGTGTGGTCCAATATTTTTTATTCTGGATTTTGGAAGGATGTTACTAGCAATGTATCTTTTCAATTTGGTGGCGCTAGCTTTCAATTTGTGGGGGATATATGGTTTCATCCTTTTATACTAACATCCTTTTACACCTAAAAACTTTTAAAGTACGAGATACAAACCTTTTAAGCTTTAACGCATTTATTTATATTGCAACAAATGTTATTTTTTATATCTTACAATCCAATCCGTAAATCGGTTATTTCTATCTTAGATTTGTTATGTTTTTTTTTAAGTGTATGAAAATAAAAATCATTCGAGGTGAAGCCAGCTAAAGACATTCAAAATATACTAAAAAAGAGGTCTAACACAAATCGCTTTGTATTTAAGTTTTCGTTTTCATATTATTAAGTCTTATTAGATAATGTAACGACTACAAAAGTAAGATAACAAATTTTTCTGGTTTCTGCTAATAATTCACAATAATTCCGGACAATACTCTATCAAATATTTGTCATATTAGTTACCAGCTATTAAAATTATTAAAGTTTTAAATACTCAACATACTCGTAGGGGCTATTCCTTATTTATTGGCGCCAATAATTGTTGTTTGCCTTTATTCCTGGCACGTTGGACTATTATCAGAGGCTCGTTAAACACGTTATAGAATTGACTGGCACTTAAAGCGACAAGCGGTCAGGACACTTAATTATATGCATTGCACAGTGCTGTCCTGCATATTGTCCATTGTCCATTGTCCATTGCCCATTTACCACTGACCACCGTCCGCTTGTAGGCTGTCAATTATGGCGTGTTCGACAGGAGGGATTGGATTCGTGTTCTAGGTATCAATCAAATGGACATGTTACAATAATTTCATTGCATAACAAAATTAAATGTAGTCGCGTGTCTCGCATATTTACAAGACTATTAAATTAAAAAACATGAATGAATAGCACACGCACAGAGCAAACATTTGAGCTGCAATCGTTTAGTCATCTTTGAATGACTTGGCTTTAAAATGGCTTAGTAACATGCCAACAACTAAAAGTCTACACGAATACTGCTATGTTTGATGACTATATTTTTTGCATTCCAAATGGCGAATCAGTGTTTGTAAATAATATTTGAGCATTAATCACTTGATGCTGTCGTTTTATCATACTTTAATCGTTTCCCTTAATTATTCTCTGTTTTTTAGTACATTAAAATCGACATGATGGCCACTTCACAGGATTATTTTGGCAATCCTTATGCACTATTTCGCGGCCCGCCCATCACAATGCGGCCACGCACATCGCCGCTGGGCGTGGCTGGACACTCGCATGCCAGCTATACGGCCCTCGATCTACAGTCGCCGCACAAGCGTCACATTGAGACGGATGTGCGTGCACCGCCACCACCGTTGCCACCACCGCCGCTTGCAATGCCGCCGTTGCCGCCATCATCGCCGAGGTAAGCCAGAGTCGAGGTGCAGGCGGGGGAGAATTGAGTTGATATGCATATCATCAGCAACACATCAACACTTCTATATTAAGTCTTCAATCAACAACAGAAGTCAACCCCAACAAAAAAAAAAAAAAAATTGGAATTTCGTTATTTGCCAATCGATTTCTTTTTACCGATTTCAAGTAAAAGTAAAGTAAATATCCTTAATTAGCTACGGCCAAAACACACTAAAGTTAAAGTAAAACAAAAATCTTTTCGCTTTGTTTAATCCTTGCAAATGGACTTTGATCCCATCATAGAGTTAATAATATGAGAGAGAATATCACTAATAAAAAAAGTCATTGAAAAAAGTGTTTGCTACACTATTTGAGAATATACATTAAAAAAAAAAATAAGTAGTTATCTTAAGCATTAGTAAATTAAGTGTATTCAATAGCTCATTCAACTGCTATAAGACTAAACACCAATCTACTTAAAATTTGTAGACTTTTAGAGTTCACAATATTTATTATTCCAAGTATGGTATTATTAAAAGTAGTCTGTAGCTTAAGATAAGCTATTGCAGAGCATTTCAACTAAGCACTTGTACCGTTGAAGAATAAATGTTATATAATTAAGTAAATGTAATAACAAGATATAATCACAATATAGACTACTTAGTAAAGCCCTAATATTTATATTAAGTAGATTTTGACATTTATCAGTAGTCTGCTTAACTTTGCGCAAAACAGCCTACATCGTAGTTTTACATGAATACAAATATTTATTGGAAATATGCAATATACGAATACACCACTGGTTACATAAAGTATACAATACAATAAGTACAGAAATTATTCTTATTAAAACTGACTTTGTAGCATTTGAATACACATTAATTCGCATTAGAAAACAGCTAAATTTATGGGTCCACTGGTTTTCATAATTATATTAATACGACATAGACATACATACATGTTCATTAAACAGTGGAAAAGTAGTGAGCTTTTATTCAAAATACCATAATAATTGATATTCTAAAATCGTAATGCCTAATCAAGTCTATAGTGCTTTCTAGAATCAACAATAACAAATGGAAATACATACCGCTAAGGTTAACTCAAAGTATACGTATATGAATAGCCTCTTGAAATTGAAGAATTTTCGAAGATAGACAACCTAAGTAGTTCGAATAAAGCAATAAAATTAACAATAATTACACATACATAGAATTAATTACTAGAATTTTATTGCACAAATGAATATATGCGAAAGTATTTAAAAATTAATCCAATATGCCATACATTGTATACTAAAATTCTGCTATATCGTAGTGCAAATTATTTTCTAGTTTTCTAAGCGATTCATGTTTATGCCTACTAACTATTAGAAATCCAAAGTCCTAGGCATAAGCACGCACCTAATGAGCACATTGTAAAATGCAAAATTTTAAGCCAAGAGTACAAAATGTAACAAAAAAAAACAACTTCAAATTAGTCCAAATTGGCAAGCCAAGAAAATATCAACCTGTACTTAAATAAGTAGATCTAAGCAATTGTAAAGCAAACACTTTTCAAGTGACAAATCTTAAGAGATATTTATGAAGCAAAAATCATGCACAATTGTGGAATACGAGGAAATGAGCCAACGTCTTCAATCAACAACCATCCACTGAGCAGCTGATGGCCAATCATCAATCAACAAGCAACTACTATCAACTATTTTGCCTACTCACTAGTCGAAAATAATTTATTAGAATGTCGAAAAGTTTTTTACCATTTCTCTCATATACTACTTATACATAAAGTAATCAAACCTAAACCTAACAACAATCAACATGCACCTAAAAATCCTGTCAACGAGCGCGGTAAGTCAAGAGCCAATTCACATTTAACTGTAACCAACCCAACCCAACTTCACGTGTCTAGCGAATGTTGTAGTGGCAACGTAGATGCAAATAAAATTAGAACTGCATTCGATCTGCATGTGAAGGGCCTGTCAGGTGATTAGTATATAAATAAATATAAGACACAATAATCAGTAGTGTATCGGATCGATTGCATTCGCGCATGCCAACAACAATTGTGTGTTTTTTAAGGCCGCCAACGACACAGCAACTTGCAATTAATTGCTAATTTCCATGTCACCTGAGTTTTTAGTGGAAAATATGAAATTGCTTGATGGCAGCTAGATTATGAGCTCAGACCTCGGCGATTTTATTAAGTCTAACGGAAATATAATTAAAATGCAATGAATCCGAATCATGCAAAATGATTTTTTTTTTATTATTAAAATAACTTGTGATATTTATACATATTTATATATATTATATTTTATATTTTATGTCTAATTTTTTATAATACAAATGTTATTTAAGTTTAGATGAACGTGTACAAATACTAAATATTATGTACCATATTCAATATTTTTTAATATTTTTAATTTGATTAAATTTTGATTAAACAAGTAAGTGGGCTCGACTGTGAAATATCCTGAATCTAGCAGTTCAATTTATTTATCTAGTTTTATTGCGTTTCAATTTTAAAAGATGCGCACACTCTGCGTATGTTCTCTCACTTCGTATGACTGGCACAGATTCTAAGGAACAGTCTCTGAGATTATTTTGCCATAGCGATCTATAGAACCACTCGACTGATCAAGAATAAATTTAACTTATAGAATCAAAAATGCTTCCTTCTGCCAGCTACATAATTTTGCACAATCCGTTTTACGTATATTTAATGGCTTTAGGATTCCTTCTGTGGTATTTATACGAAATTACAAACAAAAAAAAAACAAGAGTACTGTAGTCGAGTGAGCTCGACTACGATTGATCCTGAACCCAGTTGCTAAATATTTTTTAGTTTTATTGGAAAATTTCCATTTAAAAGTTTTGCACCAAAATGTGAGCAGGTCTGCAAGCGCGCATAAATTGCTTGCGGTTGCTGATAGAAATGAGATCAATATGAGAACATATTTTCGACTATAACTTGGGTGTTTCTCATTCGATCTTGATGAAATGTGTGCAGTTGATCAATAATATGCATATGCATATTATATATTAATTAGAATATTCTGCATCTAAAATTGTAGCATTTATTGCTATCGGAAATTTAAATTGATTGATAAGCGAGAAACGGAGGCATTTATTGATAAAATAAAGCAAACTTGATCTGCGCCTGGTATAAGACAACCTATATTCCAAATTTGAAGATTCTATCTCTTATAGACTCTGAGATCTGCGTGTTCATACAGACAGACGGACGGACAGAGGAACATGGCTATATCGACTCGACTGTTGACCCTGATCAAGAATATATATACTTTATGGGGTCGGAGATGCTTCCTTCAGCCTGTTGCATACATTTGCACAAAGCCATTATACCCTTTTTACCCATTTTCAATGGGTTCAGGGTATAAAAAACAAAAATTGTAAAATAAATTTATTCAACTGCTTACAACATGTAATTTATGCTCGCGTTTTTAAAGTTTAGATTCTTAACGATAATTTGTGTTAAAGGTCATGCAATACACATCTCAATCTTCATGCATGTGGCATTTTGTGGCGTAGTTGACAAGTTGACAACTTAATTAAAAAAATTACATTGCGTTTAATGAACACATGTAGCTGCCAAATTACCAGTCCATATAGCCTGGTCTGTTATGTTCTTATATGAGGCATTTTAACATGCAAAGTCATAAAACAAAAATGTCAACGGGATTAATTTTGGGTGGCAAGATTGTGTTCGGTCGGCTCCCAACGCTAAATAGAAAACATATCAATTTTCAACTTGTCAAAATGGTGCAATTTATTAGTAATTGGCCATTGGCCCAACAACGTACCATTAGTGTTTACCTAAGCCTGATTAGCTTAATCAAGCAATTGTTAAATGGTTAGTTCGTTTTCGCTATATTTTCAGTTTCTGCCTAATAGCGAGAAACTTCAGGACTTAGCGACCAACACAAAACTAGTAATAACAATAACAATAACAATTATATGCCCCCAAGTCATGTAACACCATTAGGCAGCTGCGGTTGTCGCTTTGCCAAGGCTGGCGAAAAGGTTGTTTATGGAATTTAATTCCATGCGATTTTGGTGGCTCAGAGGCAAAGTGAATGCCACTTGGCTTAGTCTAATGAATGCAGCAGACTGTGGAACTGGAGCAGCATAAACACAAAAGACTGAGAATAAGGCCGAGACTGAGAGCGAAGCTACACGCTGCCTGGGGTTGCCAGGATGCACGCATTGACATCAATACACACGCAAACACCCAACAACAACAACAGCAGCAACAACGCACAATGCGTATGGGGAATATGCAAAGTGATGTCGCTATTTGTTTGCACTGCATTCCCTTTCCTGGCTACTGCTTAAAGTGGCCTTACTGTGCTTGCTGTGCGTATTTCAAAAGGAATTGCCCATGGTTATGCGTAACAGAAATCTGTAATTAAAAACTGTTTATATGGACATATGTAGATACTCATACACCAACACAACCAAGTTCATATGACATTATGTTGCCGGAAATGGACACAGTAGAGCCATCGGCACCCCTTCTATGTATATAAGCAGCTACAGTTTCAAGTGGTGAAAGTAATTGCGGAAGCAACCACAAATAGAAGAAAATTGCACCTGCGGACAGAACATGTCAATAATTCACAACTCTGTAAGCAAGCAGCAGTGGCAACGAATACCAAAGCACCTAAAAAACGATTTGCATTCTTCAATACTGAAAGCTGGCATAATCCACCAAACTGACAAGTTCTAGGTTTCTCGAGTATAAAACCTGTTTACACGTTTTACTCACTTTGTGGTTGGCGATCCACACAACCTGCAACTTCTCTGTACAATATTTGTTGCTTTGCCATTTTTTTTTGCTGCAGTGGCATTTCCGTTTTGGCTTTTTGCTCACTGCCAGGTGCCTGTTTCCTCACCTAAAACCTTGTAGTGAATCTATGCTGGTGTAGAAAGTCACTTAGGAATTTACACAGAATTGAAATGAAGTTATTTATGGTGCTATTTATTATGAGAGTGTTACTGCTTCAAGTTTGAAGCGCATAAGCTAAGCGAATTGTTTAACATAAGAA